GGGCTCGACGCTGCTTAACTTCGGGGATCGAACGAGAACCGGTGCTTTCAGCGTGATATGGCCGTAGACATTATTGTATACTTGGGCACAGGTTTTATGTACAGTATGTATTTGAAAAGTATATTAGCCAGAGCTTTAAAAGTTTATAAATTTATTTTTGATTACTTAATTCATTTAAACTATAAACTGCATGGCGTATAGTTTTAATGATTTTTAAAACTCATATAAAAATCAACTGTATATTCATTTGAATGCCAAATCATGTGTTATTTGTAATTTATGCAGACATTATAAGCGGATTAGACTGTAATACATTTTTTAAGCATTAAAAAACGTATTGATTTTTGTAATTAATCCCTAATACTGTATATCATTAATCCTTTAATCTTTAAAAATAATTAATATTTGAAGTAATATAGATTTACAACAGATTTTTAAATTGAGTTTAAAATGAGCAAGCTCAAACCATACAGGTTGTCACAGAATTACATTTAATTAATTAATGAATAATAAAATCAAAAAAGACTGCAATTTATGACATAATTATTGAACACTTTATACACAAAAAGATTTCAACAAATTGTGTCTATTTTTGCAAACTTTGAACTCAATTGACGGACATATCTATAGATCCATTGAATCGGTCGAAGACATCACCACTACTGACCACAACCATCACCAGCAGTGATGTCCGAGCGGTTCCGACACGAGTGCCCCGAAGGATGCAAAGTATTTGTGGGCAATTTGGACCGAAAGACGGGTCGCGAAGACTTACGCCATATATTCGGTCGCTTCGGACGCGTCCTCAACGTCTGGATGGCTACCAGTCCTCCGGGCTTTGGGTTCGTGATGTATGGCCACAGAGAGGAGGCGCGGACGGCTGTCCAGCGTATGGACAACGCCCGCATCGATGGCCGCTTCGTGACCGTCGAGTTGGCCACTGGTCTCAGAAGACATGATCACAATCACCACAAACGCGGTCATAGTGTCGATCGCCACTCCAGTGGTGGCAGATATCGCAGGAGTAGATCCAGTGAACGCCTGCGCCGAAGATCTAATGGTGCGGTCGATGGCGAGGATCGGGTTGGCGGTGATGAGCGACGGGTGACGTCAAGCAGTGGTCGCTATTATCGTTGCACTACTCGTGAGGCGAGGAGTCGGTCGCCGGCGCGTAGAAGGAGACGGTATGGCCGACACACTCACCGATCGTCCAGCGGTTCCGAGTCGAGCGCCGCTGAAGATACCAAACGTCATCAATAGGTCTATAGATCTGACCATTCAGTTGATTAGTATTTCTCGCAATTTATGTCTCATTTTTGGTACTATTTTCGCATTTAATTCTCATTTTGTGCTCAATTTTTGTATTTAATATAAAAATAACTCATTTTTGCTGTAATTTTAATTTCATTATCAATCCATTGATAACTTTTTAAATTTAATTTCATTTGATTTGTTCGTGATTTTTGTTGCTTTCATTTAACACACATTTTGATTCAATTTGTAATGAAATTGTATTTTGAAAATAAATGTTCATTTCTCATTGATTTCTAACATAACTACCGGTAATATTAAAATTTACAAATTATATCTCATTCAACAAATGAATGAATGAATAAAATGTTATGAAAGCAATATATTATAGAATATTCTGAATCTAAGAATGCATTACTGTATGAATGACAGCCCATTGAGAAGTGAGTGATTTGGACAGTTATGCTAAACATTGTAGCAATGGTTGAGTAGGTTTATTGTGGACAGAGATGAGTGATCACACCGTAAGAAGTCAATGAAGTGATAATCGTTAGAAACTTCATTAAACACACGGCTTATTACATCAGGATATATATACATATGATATGTACTGTATATCAGGAATAATACTAAAGAATTTTTATTTTAATTCCATTTTAATGAATTTATTTATAATCTTGATAAATTATCGTTTTATTACTATTTCA